GTAGAACTACGAGAAACGTTTTGATACTAAAATTTGTTAAACTATTTATATAAGTGTTACAGTATACATATCAAAAAACATATTAATAATTTAAGAGATCTTCTTTAAATCCTCCCTAGGATCTTCCAAGGGGGCTTTAGGCTGATATTCCGCAGTTATCTTGCTGTTGGTATTCGTTTTTTTTAATTATAACTTGTCGGCTACTTACAAAGTTGGTATTAAAAGACTATTATGGTGTTTATGGAAATAGTCATAGTAAATATCATGTTTGATTTTAATTTTGTCGCAATTTTGCTAAAAAAAGCTTGTAAAAACCGTTTCTTTGCTGTAGTTTATAATAGTATATGTACACTACTCGTAGACTAATCTGATTGGCTATCCGTCTGGTCAATGATCTGCCAATGCTAGTTTACCGATCTGACGCTCCGCCCACCCGTTCAGTCCACCAGCCGACTAGACTAGGTAACCCTAGACGAATTTGATTAGTTTATTTAATAACCTCCACAAGATTAAGATTAAGATTTTTTGTGTTTTCAGTGTCTCTATGGTAAAAGTTCTTAATTTGGCCAAGCATGTTTCTTACCAATGGCAGAGTTTATATATATGCTGATGATACGCAAATAAGGTTTTCTTTGTCTGATTTTAATGTTGCTCTTACTAATGAACTGATTAACTCAGAATTAATAAAAATCGTAAATTTTTCTAACAGACATCAGCTAACTATCAATCCCGCAAAAACACAAATACTCGTCTTTGGAAAAAATAAAAAAGAACTAGCAGAACATTTATCTGTGAGTATTGATGGTGTCTTGGTGGCTTGTGTAGATGTTGCCAAAAATCTGGGTCTTCATCTTGATACTGACTTAAAATTTAAAAGCCATGTAAATAATTGTATAAAAAGGGCTTACGCTAATTTGAAAATGCTTTACCCGCATCGCCATGTTTTAGATCAAAATATAAAAATACTTCTTTGTGATACTATGGTTCTCAGTCATTTTAATTACTGCGATGTCGTCTACGGGCCTTGTATTGACTATGTGGATATTAATCGTATTCAAAGAGTACAAAATTCTTGTCTTCGCTACATATATGGTATAAAAAAATACGAAAGGATAAGTCACAAACTAATTGAAACTAACTGGTTAAATATGGAAACTAGAAGGAATTTACACATGGTAACATTGTATCATAAGATCATTTCATTAAAGTCGCCTCCTTATCTCTATAATAAAATTACATTTCGAAGTGATGTGCATAATGTGCATACAAGGTTTAGAGGGCATATATCTCCACCTCTCCATCGTACCTCCAAATTTCAAGGTTAATTCTCTTATATGATATTTAAACTATATAACCTGGTTCCTCCTAAACTCAAACATCTTTCGACAAATATGTTTAAGCAAAAGTATAAACATCTCTTGATGTCAGAAAATATCTAGTCAAAACAACCATTAGATATTATAATAAAATGTAATATTACATTTATAAAATGTGTATTTATATTTTTGTCTCGATTGTGCCACACTTTATTCGTTGTATTTTATTATTTTAATATTTTTCTTTTCTTTATTAGGGATAGCAATTAATATCAGCTATGCTGTCTGCTATTCCCTTTTTGTAGTATTATACTATTTTGTTCGATAAAATTTATGTATTTAATGCAAATTTACCTGTAATACTGCAAATAAAAATTATTATTATTATTATTATTATTATTAGCACTGTTTTCGGTCTTTATGTTTAAGATTTCCTTAAATTGCTCTGGAAGACAGTTTTTGTAATCAAGAAACATCGGTGTAAAGCAAGTCGATATTATTTTATGATTATTAACTTTTCGTTTAGTAATTTTTACTGTATACTGTATATAAAGTAATACAATCGACTACGTGGGCCAAATAAATCCGTAACAGATGGAGTTGAAAGCAACTATTTTCGTCGACCGACGTTCATAGGAAGCGAAATCTCAAGTCGAGCAATAAAATTGAAGCTTTGTTGGATTAGAAGTAATTAGGGATTTCATTAAAAGCAAAGAAAGCTTCGATCGACCCCTTCTAAATGAAATTTCGCCGAATTAGGCTCGTATAGAGAGAGAATAAATTAATTATTTTTGTAAACATCGGCGCTGGGTCTTTACTTAAAAAAACAAAAAAGTTTGTGTAATGGTTAATGGTATTAAGTTTGATCGTTATTTATTGAGTTAAAAGTGCCAAAAGTTTAATGATAAATTGTGGATACAGTAAAAATTTTTGTATCTATAAAAAGTTAGATTTAAACATTCTTGGAGGGGCGGTAATAACCCCCATCAACCTCCATATATGCGCTCCAGTCTGTAAGAAGTATACCTGGTTTCAACCTATAATTTTAACAGTATCAATAAGCTTTTAATAATCAATTTTCTGGACAAATGTATTTTTAGTTAACCGTATGTTTTTATTATTTTCTAAGAATATTATTGAGCATAATGTTGTGAAGTGGACAGTTATATAGGTTTCTATAGTAATAGGAATAATTGTATCAAACTGATTGTACTTGTTTTTAATAAATATGCGATCAATGCAAATTGTACTATTTTTATCTATTCTTGTAGAAGTGTTTATTGCATCTTTTAAAAGATCTATATTTATATCGCCTGCATATATAGAGAATACGGTATTTGCTTGATCATCTATTCTATCTGTCAAATTGTTTATAAAACCGATGATGTCCCGTATCAGAGGGAGATCTGTAAAGTGCGTTTACTTCATTTTTTTTATTTTCTACTGAATATAAAATACAAAATATCCGTAAAGCATATGTTTCATTGAGGACAAACAAGAAAGTTCCACTTTGTTCTATGAACTAGGTGCCACAGAGAGCTTTGATTTTGCTTTTTAAGTGCAGATGGCATTACTATTTTCTCTGTAAACACTCTCAAAACCCTTCAATAAAGCAAGCAAATCAATTTAACACATCTGGCAGGCTTCATTATAGACTAGAGTCGGGATTGTCTATTTCGAGTTGATGAATACTAATAAGGACGAAATCAGTCCAAGAATTATGTTCTTCTTAGGAAGCAAAATAAAATTTAGAGCATGGAAAATATTTTCTATCTTTACTATTTTACTTCGGATATAATGCAATGCCTGTGGCGATATTAACCAAAGAAGTAGTTGTTTTCAGGATATGATCTTCGAGTGTTTCAGTTTTTACTTCGGTGTTATTCTATAATCTGTTAATTCCTGCTCCCTTTCACCCTACAACAAAGCGCAGGAAAAAAAGCGACGTGCCATTTTTAATAATCTGCTGAGCGACTATGATTTTTAATTCAACATAAAAAATAATAAATTGTAACAAAAATGTGCTTCTATTGTGTTCTTCGCATAGTTCACGTGAAGTTATGAGATTATAACCAATTACAGTTTTTCAATAAAACGTTTCATGTTTTGTAAAATATTAATTATCCATCAATCAACTAATATAAAATGAGCTTAAGTTTTAATTAACTATCCGTATTACATACGTCAGTTTTTGCGATACTTCGTTAAAAGATAATTTATACTCTTTTGTATTAATTCAGATTGATGTAAATAGTATCACGAGTTCTGGCAATATGTAAAATCGATAAAATTTTAATTAAAACATCCACCATTTGTAACTAATCGAAAATTGCAGATTTACTACAAAATTACTAATAATCTGATTAAAAATTTGATCAAGCTTGAACAAACAAAAAAAATATGCTTCACAAAGTAAACTGGTTTTGATAGTTTTTTCGTTTTTATTTTCTTTTACTTTGAATACAATAACCACTTAATAAAAATAGCATTTTAAGCAGGTATTAATCTAACGCATATTTACAGTTGTGGCAAGCAATTAAAAGGATTTTAAGATATTTACGAGGATTTTGGGACTTATCTTCGTTTTTTCATAAAAATAATTGTAAGAACCTTATTGAAGGGTACGCAGATTCTGATTAAGCTGGGGACAGAGTGGACAGAAAATCTACCTCGGGTTATATTTTTAAAATGTTTCGAAATCCAGTAAGTTGGTGTTCTAAGAAACAAGCAACTGTTGCACTCTCCTCTACCGAAGCAGAATATAGCTTTGAATTTAGCAATAAGCGAAAATTTCGCATTCAAAAGACTTCAGTGTTTTTATTTTGAATAATCCGAAATATTGTAACAGTCTCATTCGGAGGTTTGCAACTTTAACATCCGCACACAGAGGCATTATTTTGATGAGAACAACTGTTTCATCTTGTTACTTGTGACTGTCTTGTGATTGGTTAAAAAAAGTGTTATGTGTCTTCAACCTGTTGAGCGCTTGTTTGTCTAATTAGTTGAATAATTTAAAACACGGGCTGGTGCAAGTGCGAGGGAGAAGCATTCGTGAGTGAGAGCGAGTCGGAGCTTGTATTTATATTAGCAGTTTCATTCTCCACAAAGTGAGATAGCTGTATTTCCGAAGTGTTGAGCTGTTACCGCACAATTATTGCTGCTACATTAATTGTTGTTTGCCAGAGTTAGCTATAAGTTTAGTTTGTTAGAGTTGGCTCTAAGTTTATTATTTATGAAATTTTTTGACTCATTTTTTTTAGGTAAGCTTATTAAATTCGGTAATGCTTGAACTTAAAATTTATTAATAAATTATATTGTTATTCTTATGTTAACTATACACAGGGTTATTTTACGTTATTTATAAGAGCGTGAATCCTAAAAAGCTTTACGTTTTTAAACAGTAGCGATATTCAAACCAAAACAGCCGCCAGTTTTGCTACTAAAAGGATATTATGTTTTATTTTTTTAGTTATGCCACTATTGCTCTCGGTGAATGATAATAAACGTTCCTCAGGATTTTTTTTTTTTCAGAACCTGTAGAGTTTCATTTCAATATAATCTTCCAGAAAAATCTGAAAAATAAATTTGTTTAGCGTCTCGTTGAGCGATAAAAATGAGAAATACCTTTAAACAGTCTATAAAATATGAAATACAGAAATTTAATCCAATTTAATTTGTTTTCAGATGAAAGCTACCAACCCGCAGAAGATGATTATACGGACAATGCTATTGACCGCTTACTCCAATCTGCTCAGAAGTAAGTCTCATTCTTCGATTGCTTCATTCCGTTCTTATTGCCAGCATTACAGAGGGTGCTTCTCTCACTATAATATAATTTCATTTTCAATTTTCAAGGAATTCTTAGAGCTCGAAGCAATCAGATAATTATTATATAAGGAGAACAAATGTACTCGTGCAAATAAACAGAGCATTTAATATAGAAATGTTGTAAACGAGGGGCAATTTACGTTTTATAGCCGTCATTTTAAATGACTCATAGATTTTTGATTGTTGCGGCATTTACTTGATGAAAATCCATATTAGGCATTCCAAACAAATGAATTGCCAGTGGAAAGGTTTGGTATATCTAAGGGTGGCGACATACGGTGTATTCTATCTACTTTACGTAAAATCATGAATAATGGATTACATTTAAATATTTTATGTCAAACACAATACAAATAATATTTAAAAAATCCACCTATACATTTCTTCATAAATTGGCAGGCTGGCGACTATACTTCGAATAAAAATAGTGTCCAAGTTGCAAGACTATGTCGCTACCCTCTTAGATATACAAGAATTTCCCACTGGCACCTATTGTTTGACAGGTCGTTGGAATGCCTAATTGTTCAAATGAGAAAAACAAAACTTGGTAGATTTTTATGACAATTGTTTCGAATTACAACTTGTTCTTCAAATGTGACTAATTTACATTTCGGTGTAATATATACATTATACATACAAAGTAAGCTAACAAGTACTTAAGAAATAATAAAATTCAAATAAGGCTTTACCATTACCGGGATTAACTCACAGAAAACTAAGAACAGATAAACAAAATTAATAAAGGTAAGTTATTAATGTGTAGTTTCTTATTTAATAGGTTTTTTGGTTGAGAAATGCTATTTACGCACCTCTGCATAGGACAGGGAGTGTGGGGCTCGCCCATACGGACTACCCACTAAAACTTCATCTTTTCCAAGGACCTTTGTAGAATACTCCGGGACCAATCTTTCGAATATTTCATGAAAGCATTCTGGCTGCTTCTCTAAGTTTCTCTCATTTCCTGTTAGTCTTTTTCTTCTTCTGCTTTTCTCTTTATTATCTTTTTAATAAGGTCTTCTATATTGTTCCATTTCTCTCTACTCTCCATCATTGCTTTCACTGTGCTCAATGCGGTTAGGTCGTTAATTTCATCTATGCTATTCCGTTCTGTTCTCCATCATGAGCACCTAAAAATGATATATGTGACAGTTTTCATTCAACTCGTTCTACTGCATTTCCAACAAGTGGTTATGGGCCCAGGCCAGTAGAGTTGTTAAGAAATAAGTAAAAACATTTTATTTAAATATGGCAAGCAGTGAATCGAGCTCCGCAATGACAGCCGTAGAAAAACTTAAGGGCAGGGAAAATTATAGCGACTGGAAATTTCAAATGACTGCATTACTGAAACATAATGATCTTTGGCTGGGTATCCTGCTAGTGATACAAAGGACATTGCATTAAAAACGCGTCGTGAAGAGGAAGCTTTCTCAAAAATAATACTTTCTCTAGGTAAATCTACATATCCACACGTTATGCAGGCGAATACAGCCACTAAAGCCTGGAAAACCCTAAAAAAAGCATTTGAAGATAAAGGACTTCACCATCGTTTACGATTACTGAGAAGATATGTTCAGTAAAACTTATAAACTTTAGTACAATGGAAAAGTACGTACACGAAGTCATGAGTTTAGCTCAAAAACTATCAATTAGTAAACCAGTTGATGACGAATTCTTGGGTGCAATTATGTTACAAGGTCTATCTGATGAATATGAACAGAGGGTAGTGGCATTGGAAAATTCGAGAGCAGAAATAACATCAGATTTTGTTAAAACCAAATTATTGCAAGACAAAAAATGGCAGAATGGGTACAGTGCAGAAAATTCCTCTCTTGCAATAAATAAAATTAACAAGAAACCATATTGATCGCTTTGTAAACAAAAAGGACACTATAAAAATCAATATCCTCAACAAAAACAAACCTCAAATGCAGAAGGCTCAGACAATAAGAACAAAAATAAAAACAGACGTGAATTTACTCTCATTGCTGCTCTTGCGATAAATTTACAAAGAACTGCTTGGTACACAGATTGTGGTGCTTCCTTATACATGTCAGGACAAGGAAAATTGTTGTTTGATCTATCGAATATTCAATCTGGCCAAAAAGTTATTGTAGCCAATAATACAAAATTAAATGTTTAAGGAGTGGGCAATTCAAGAGTCATCTTGAAAACAGATGGAACTAGTAAAATTATTTCTGGTGTAAAGTTTGTACCAAACTTATCAGTAAATTTGTCTGTTAATGCTCTCATATCCAGAGGATACTGTGTAACCTTTGCTTCTGATGGATGTAAAATATTTCATCAAGAAAATTGCCTTAGTAAAGGAAAACCATTTGCTGCTATGGCACAAAAGGCTAGGTCATCCTAACCACTACAGCATGAGTCTTCTAAAAAAATGGACTTGCAGTTGGTAAAAATTATAAGGATTCAGAAACTCCCACTTATGGTGAAAGTTGTATCAAAGGTAAACATGCCAAAAAGCCTTTTCCCTATAACAAAATAAAGGGTGTAGCTAAAAATAAAGTAGATTTAATACATTCTGACCTCGCTGGGCCCATAACCATTTATTTTAAATGCAGTAGAACGAGTTTAGAAAAAAGATATATTTATGTATTGCCTGTTTTATATAAAATTAATTTACATTCTACTTGTTCTACTGCATTTCCAACATCTTCTCCTCCAAAATAGATTCAATTTGGATCAGTTGATTTGCCTATTCTATAAGTATATGCCCTAAACGAGCCATGTCCACTGAGGAACTGTGTGATGTAGAAATCTGTTCTACGGTTGTTGCACATAAGCCAGGTAATTCGGATAAGTATTTTAGTTCATTGCGAAACTCGTACCGTTCCATACATTTTGCCATAACGCTATAGTTCGTTGCTTTTCTTCTCTTCTGATTATCTCGCTAATTTATCTTGTATCATCAGTCGGAACGCTATTATCCCAAAAATAACGTTTGCTGCGTCACACGAAATCGTGCGATAAGCGCCTAGCTACCTTGATTAGCATTCTCATCTGAAGTTCTTGGAGCTTCTTGTTGTATATTGTAGATCTCTTGATATTAGGACGGTACCTTTGCATCAACCTTGTTACCTGAACATTGGGATAGGTAGTTTTGATGTAATGGTGACGGACGAGGGGACTCTTTGGAACAGCTATCTGAGTTGGGTATACACAGGATATGTAATCTAATTTATGCAATAAATAGTTTCAACATTGGTGACCCCGAAGGAAAATGACCGAACAAGCAGATGCAGCCAAAGTAACTTTACGCGCCTCACCATTTTGGCCCGAAAATCTAGCTATTTGGTTTTGTCAACTGGAAAGTCATTTCGTATTAAATTGCATTTCCAAAGATAAAACCAAGTTTGCTTACGCAGTATCTCAGTTAGAAAAGAGATACGCGGCAGAAGTCGAGGACATCATCACTCCATCCTACAGAAAAAGACAAATATGACGTACTTAAGAAAAAATTGATTCAGAGGCTATCAATTTCAGAAAAAGAGAAAATTCAAAGTTTATTAGGTCAAGAAGAGCTTGGCGATCGGAAACCTTTACAATTTCTCAGACATTTGCGCAGCCTGGCAGGTAATATTATTTCCGATGCATTTTTACGTACGTTATGGTTGAGTAGATTACCAGCAAATGTAAAAGCAATTCTCGTAACACAAAGTGTGCAATCTCTAGAAGTTGTAGCTGAATTGGCAGACAAGAATAGATATATGAGACTATTCCATTTACTCAGGTCGCTTCTATAGTTAATACTCCAAATTAAATTAATAAGCTCAAACAACAAGTGAGCAAATTAATGAGTAAGATCTATGAGTTTATGTCAGAAAAGCTTACTAGAGACTCTAGTACACGGACTAGTATACGTAGCAGAAGCAACAGTAGAGATGATGTAGCTATTACTTATTGGTATCACAGAAGGTTCGCTTCTAAAGAAATAAAATGTATACCTCCTTGTTACTTCTATCACTTATCACATTGTCGATCTCAATCGGGAAACTTTTCAGACAGTCGCGCTTAACGGCGGCAACCAACTGTCTCAACCTTTCACGCCGCCTTCTCTTAACCGAAAAACATCCAAAATTCAATACCTTGTTGACACTGGTTCGGATTTATCGGTTTTTCCATATTCTTACACGAAAACTCGACGAGATAAGTCCAATTATCAACTTTTCGCTGCTAATGGTTCGATTATTAATACTTATGGCCCTATTACTATTTGTTCAGACTTTGGTTTGCGCAGAGAATTTGTCTGGATATTTGTCCTGGCTGATGTTACTAAACCCATAATAGGAGTAGATTTTGTAGCTTATTTTAATTTGTTGGTCGATATTCGCAATAAACGTCTTGTTGACTCGTTGACAAGTCTATTGTCTTTAGGAACCTACTGCGAACAGAATAAAGATCTCACAAATAAATCTATAAGTAGCGGTACTTCTGAGTATCACAAACTTCTTACTGCATTTCCTGAAATAACCAAGCCGGAAGGATTCTTGAAAGAAACTAAGCATACCACGTTACACTATATCCGCACTACACCTGGACCACCGGTTGCTAACAAAGCTCGGAGACTTTCAGGGGAAAAATTTCAAGCAGCCAAGCAAAAATTTTAGGCAATGGTTTAATTATAAATTGTTCAAAGATCTGATAGTTCTTGGGCTTCGCCCCTTCATTTGGTTCCGAAAAAAAAATGGGGAATGGCGTCCGTGCGGGGATTACCGCTCACTTAATGCTCGTATAATCCCCTTTACGACACCTGCATGATTTTTTCCAAAACCTTTGTAGCAAAATTATAATTTCTAAGATAGATTTAGTTAGAGGTTATAATCAGATCAAGGTAGCTCCAGAAGACATTCCCAAAACTGCTATAATAACTCCCTTTGGTCTATTTGAATTTATTTACATGACATTAGGTTT